GAACAGAACATTATTTGTTAAAATAATAACGCTTAAAATCAAATTTCCATTGTTAACTAAATTAGCTACCCAGATATATATGCTGCAAAATACATAATTCAAATAAAAAATAAAACTATTTTTTTACGTATTTATCTATTTCCAACTTTAAGCTCAGTGCTTACACTTTGAATTTTTTGGATGACATCCACTTCCACATACAATATTTGCTTTTTTGCAACTACATCTTGTTGTAAAGCAGTCACCTTTACAATTGCATTATTTGTTACTAGCAAGAGCATTAGATTGCAATCTTGCGGCTTCAATCATACTAACAGTTATGTTGGTTGGAGGATTATCTAGCTCTGAAAATTCTTTTGGACCAAGTAGCAAAACCACACCAGCCGGAAATGATTGATCAAGAATGCCAAATCGACATACGAGGCAATACATATTTCTAGAAAGCACTGCAAATACTTTGCAAGGGAGTGCGCAACGATCACCAGGCCTATGGTCAATTTTTGCAACCTGAATTTTACTAGATCACCAACTTCATAAACACGTTCATGAATATTGTATTTTGTGTGCATCTGATGTTTCATCTTAGAACGATAGTCTTTGAGATTTTTATTGGCAACTTGTCAATAAATGTTATACTGAGAAGTCAGATTATTGGAAGCTTTTTGAATAACCCAAATACGACGTTTTTTGTAAGGAATGTAATTATTTGAATCGATAAAATTTTGATTTTCCTATTTATAAATAGAAAATTAAATTATAATTAATGAAAATTTACAATATATAAAAAAAAATAAATCTTATAACAACTTTGTCTTTCGTAATTCTTTTCCGATTGCTTGTAAAGTCATCTTGCGCAGAAACTATCTGCTTGCTAATATCATTGATAGTGGATTGTATTTGCTAACTATTGAAAGTAGTTTGCTGCATTGTATAATCACCATCTATGTCTGCATAGTTTTGAGAGTTGACAATTTGGAAATCCTGTTTATTACAATTAAAATTAGTTAAAAAATAAATAAATAAATAGATTATTAACCCAATACTTTCCAATTCATGTTCTTCTATAACAGATATTTCTCCTTGCATTGTGTTAGCAAACTGTACTGAAAATCGGGAATTCAATGGGGGTGTTAGTGAAGATTTATTTGTTTGTGAGATGCTATTTTCTTTTATAGTATTGTCTTCTTGTAGAATATCAGAAAATAGCGTCGAAAATCGAGAACTTGATGGAGAAGCTACTATCGAAAATCTTTGGTGCAGTGAAACACTACCCCTTTCCATATTATTTATATGAATGATTTCATTAAAATCTTCATCTTCATATTCATTAGATAGGTTATTATCTTCATTTTCAGAAACTTCCTCATTTTCGATAATACCTTCAAGCAAATCATCCCTCATATTAACATTATATCGCTTCTATTCTTTGATTATATTAAAGTGGCGGAGGGATGTTGCCCAAAAACCAATTCATATAGTGTGTGATTGGTAGGTCTGAAGCGATGAATATTCATAAAATCTAAAAAAAAAAAAATTAATAAAATATCAATAACAAGCCATAAATTATTAATCAATGTACTTACATATAACTATCAGAAGGCCAATACTTCAATCTCTTCGATTATTGTCTTCTATCCATGCGGAGAGAACATCTTTTAAAGTTTTGTTTGAGTTTTCGATCATACCTTGCGATTGAAGATAGCAAGAATGCCTATTTATTATATAGATTTCTTTTCATAGACTGAGAAGTTAATAAATAATTTGTGCGATAAATTCCTGCCCATTATTGCTTTGTAAAATGTACGGAGGCCCAAAGATAGTAAAAACAGAAAATAAGAACGCAGCAACTTCTGCTGCCTCTTTAGCACATAGTGAACATGTCTATAAGAACCTTGTGAAATGATCACAAAGGTACGCAATATATTAGTATTCCTTATCTGGATACTTCTCAAATAAAACAAGATCTACTTGCATACGTTGCAAAAATTTTTTTGAAATAATGGTCTTTCCAATAATGGGTGCAGGAAAATTTCTTTTTGTACAATATTGTGTATATTGAGCGACGTATATCTTCACAAAGAACCGAGGAATATAAAAATATTGTTTGCTTATCTAAAACATAAGCTAGATTAAAATCTAGGAAATATAAAACCCTAACATAATTTTAATTAAGCCTGATTTACCGCATCAAAAGTTTTCTTTGAACCAGAATGCTGATGGGTATTACTATGCATCCTTCCAAGGACAGTATAAAGGTTCTGAAATAGACAAATAGCCTGGTCTAGTTTATCATTTAAATTGACATTCTTTATTTCTATAAGTTGAAGAATAGAATTCTGAGATGTTCCAAGGTCACATAAGTAAAAATTATTTTTTGCTCAGAAATGGTCCTTTGCTGTTCCAATAGATATATCTTTAGAATTTTTTAGAATCTTAATTATCAAATCATAATCTTCCTGTGTAATAATAGCTTTTCTTTGTTGCTTAGGATTACAGTTTGATAAAAACTCTGATACCAATCGATCAAAAATAGCATGAGAAAAAAAAAGAAAATCAGCGTCTCTATCTATAATATTTGACATTGAATAATTGGTAAAGAAATAAATAATAAGTTGTATTTATCTAAGAACTTTGTTCTATCGAGTAAGTTTATTTGATTTATTCGCTTTTTTTTTTTAAAAAAAAAAAAAAAATTATTTGCTTTATTTATAATCAATTAAAACTTTTAATCGATTGCATCATATTGCAAAAATCATCATTTACTTCACTCTCATATGACTGACTATACATACTTTTTGCAACTTTGAACTCAATTTAAATCACGATCGATCATTTATTTTCGATCGATCGTATATACACAGGCTTTAATCGAGTGTTGACCAATACTCTTCAATCCGGGTAACCCATATAAGAATTCTAAATTGGGTTACCCCGATTCTGAATTGGGATAGCCAGATTCTGGATTGGGAGGATTCCAATCCGGAGTACAACATATATATATATAATATAGTATATAATTAATGGATTGGATTTACCCGTACTATCGGTAGTACACTGTACTACTTTGTGACGGTTTTTAATGTGATTTTTCTACAAATAAATA